CTCCCTCATTCCCAACCCTCGCTCCTCATTCCCAACTCGCTCCCTCATTCCCAACCCTCGCTCCTCATTCCCCACCCTCGCTCCCTCATTCCCAACCCTCGCTCCTCATTCCACAACCCTCGCTCCCTCATTCCCCAACCTCCCTCGCTCCCTCAAGCCCTCGCTCCGCATTCCCAACCTTCGCTCACTTGTTCCCAACCCTCGCTCCATTCCCAACCCTCGCTCCCCTCATTCCCAACCCTGTCCACATTCCCAACCCTCGCTCCCCCATTCCCAACCCTCGCTCCCTCATTCCCAACCCTCGCTCCCTCATTTCCCAACCCTCGCTCCCCTCATTCCCAACCCTCCTCCCCTCATTCCCAACCCTCGCTCCTCATTCCCAACCCTGCTCCCTCATTCCCAACCCTCGCTCCCTCATTCCCAACCCTCGCTCCCTCATTCCCAACCCTCGCTCCTCATTCCCAACCCTCCTCCTCATTCCAACCCTCGCTCCCTCATTCCTAACCCTCGCTCCCTCATTCCCACCCTTGCTCCCTTCTCTCCACACTCTCTTTTCATTGTTTATATAAATTACATCTTTTCCGTCTTCGCTCATTTGTTTTCCATTCCATCTGCTTCTCCGCTTCCACCCACATCTTATCCTATTATTATCCTTCTTTTCCACCTCCATCACTTTCACTCCCTTCTCCCCTTACTTATTTTCCACCCACTCACTACTTCTTTCTTTTCGCCTCCTTCTCTTTGTCTTCCTCTTTTCATCTTGCTCACGTCACTCTCTTCTCCCCCTCCTCACAGTGGGCATCGTCTGACCCTCCGGGCACGTCATTGTAGGCACTTGCTTCCCACTCGACGTGGAGTGGAGGGCATGACCTACATACTGTTCTGCTATTTATTTTTTTTTTGCGTGTACACCAATTTTCGTGTCAGCTTGTGAGTTTGTTATTGGCGATGCGAAGTTGTTCTTTGTTCCTGGTCCATGAGAGGAGACTGTTCAATTGTTGTCCGTCGTCTCTAGTGTCCCCCTCTCAGTTTTCGCCTGCCAGTCATTACTCAGAAACTTCGGACTATTATTTCATCAAACTTAATCAAAATTTAGATGTAGGACAGTGAAGCAAATGGGAATTGTTCTAGAATTTAAAAAGAAAAAAAAATAGTTGTCTGGCGGATACTGGTGGAGGACTTTTGTTGTGCAGTACAGTTGTTTCTGGTCATTGTGAGGCTTAATTCAGTGGAGGTAGGTGAGACAGGTGTGTCTCTCAGACATTCTTCCCGGCAAAGGTTTACGGGCGGCCCGGTGCCACATGTTAATCAATTTATATAGTTTTAGATACATTTTTGTTTGTATTTAGGTTATGGAATCACCTAAACGATACCCCGACTGGTGGGAACTACAAGCGCACTACTTGTACTCTACATCAGAATTTGTACGTGTGTGTGTGCGCGCGCGCTTGTGTCCCCTGTTGTAGTGGTTCTTGGCACTGGTAGAAAGCGGACTTACGACTTGTATGTAGGGGCCATGACGGAAGGATTGGTTGTGCTAAAACTGACCGTTCATCTCACTCACACGCCTCCTCCCCTGCCCTTTCCCTCTTTCTCTCTCCTCCCACCCCACACCTACTATTCATACGTCCCATTTACTCACACACCTACAACCTCCCCACGCACATAATACTTACACACCAAAATTCACACACACACCGCATCTTACCCTAATACCTACACGAAGTACTACACGACGCCGTCACTTTAGCCAGGCTTTAGAGGCAACAATGGAAGGTTACTAAAGTGATGGGTGACACACGTTGCTTTGTGAGGTTGTTACCACTCTTGCTTGGCTGGTCAACTGCTCCCCTGACCCTCACGTTGGTCACACATTTACCACAATCACTCTCCACTAACTGTCAACATTCCTGCTTCCCTCACACCACAAAGGAATGTCTCCCGGACTACGGAAATTAATGGGTCTCGGAGTGGCAGCTACACCCTGGCTTACACCCAAAGATTGGCTTCGCTGCTCAGTTGTCCCCTGGAAAAGCGCCACTGTAATATGGAGGCGGCAGAGTGTTCCTGTTTTGGGGATGTGTAGGTTTGGCGGGGAATGCCAGGCTGTTTGTCTGAGATACTCTTAGATGTATCTATCACAAAGCTGGTTTAAAGGTTGCCTCATAATATTGTTCCATTGAAACTTTAATGTTCAATTCTTATGGACAAAAGTTTGCACCGGTGTAATAAGTTGTGTGAGTGAAGTTGTTGCTCGTGGCTCTCGAGGTGTTGTGGACCTCTTACAATGCTTACGTATTCTCTGCGAGGGACACCTTTACCACCACTACCTCCTTCAAGAACTCCTCCTTGTTCAGTCACCAAGTTGTGTTATTCTCATATATCGTCACTGCCATCATCACACGTCTCTTAAGCTATAGTCCTGTTATAAAGTATGCCGAAGGAAGTGTTACTCATAAAGCAGCCAGATCCGGTATACCAGTCAATTTTACTCCTACAGATATATCATATTGTACACGTGGAAAATAGTTGAATGTCTGGTGCCTAATGTGTCCAAAATATGGGGACCTAAATTCCCTGGGATTATTGTTGCAGTAATGAAAGAAATCAATTATGATCCTGTTTACAAACACTTGATACACTGTCACACACTATGGGGGGGGGGGGCTCTGGCTCTACAAAAACACAATCCCTGATTACTGCACAGAAGAAAGTTGTGAGGACAATGACCTTGAAAAAAAGTCTGATCACTAATGAACATTTTTCTAAATTGAAAATTTCAAAATTCGAGGATATTAACACCTCACAGTTCCGGAATAATCAGATATACAACTTAAGACACCCAGAGCTACTAAGACCACCCCCATGCGCTCCTCTCAGTCCCAGACCTCCATAAAATATCTTGGTGTGAAGGTGTGGGGAACAACTTACCTCCACCCATTCCAGCAAAGACTGCGCTCCTTTCCTTCTTTAAATCATCTCTTAAAAAATATCTATTATCTAAGTATTAAAATTTTTGTAATACCTACTTTATATTCCTACTTTTATTGTACCACCAAAACCATTATAACCTTAATTGTCATATAGATAGGTAGAAATTACCATAGTAGGTAGTAGGCAGCTATCAAACCTGGCGATACTACCTTCTGGGAAGATATTGGAAGCATAATGTGTTTTCTAATGGAAGACTGTTGCCATATGGCATCACAAAAATTGTGACCAAGTCTCAGGTTGCTGATCTGACCTTTTACCTCATTTGCACACAATTGCAGGGTCTCAGTTGTTTCTCTTAATATTGCCTACACAACATACATACTGTATAACATTAGTCACTCATTTGTTTTCATTTTGTTTATATATTTATACAAGAACTGAGATCAGTATTTTATCCTTGGGCTAATCCCGTAATATATATATATATATATATATATATATATATATATATATATATATATATATATATATATATATATATATATATATATATATATATATATATATATATATATATATATATATATATATATATATATATATATATATATATATATATATATATATATATATATATATATATATATATATATATATATATATATATATATATATATATGCTGATCTATCATATTACTGTATGACAACTCCATTGTGAAATATGTGTATTTAAAATATATATGTAAAAAAATGAATAAATAACGAAGTGATAAACATGGTAACATTCTGATATGTTCTTACTAACACCATGTTACGTGTACTATTCCAGATTATACTAATGTTACATAATAGTTCCTTGAGATGAATGTACAGTATATTTATATCAGGTGCCATTAAGAGAGCTCAGGCTCTCAACTGCCTCAGCCATGTCAATATTGTTATTATTATCGACTCTGTATCAGTATTTTTCTGCCTAAATATCAGAAGTCCATTCCAAGAAACATGAACTCATCCATACATGAATACTGGCATGCACACGCATACCCAAGCATTTATATCTGCACCCAGATACGCTCTATCGCCGACTCGCATACAAAGAAGAAATGTTTTTGTATAACGCACTCTAGTGGAACAGCAGAAGGCAGGAGTCGAGAGTAATGCTTGGGCAAGTTTAAAGGTTCCGGAACTTTAACTACATTTGTGAGTGGTCCTATTGTGGTGACAGATGGTGGTTGCGGTGAGTTACACGACTTCAGAAAAATGCAGGAGTGCTGTTTGTTGTTTTTTTTTTCCCGGATTTCATTGTTTCACCTCATGAGTGGGTGGTGGTGGGCTGAGCTGCTACGTACAGTCGCCAACCGACAATAACTGGCGAGTGCGTCCTATTATTCAATTTCTTTATCAAGTTTCCATTCACAATTCTCCTTGCAGAAGAAATAATTCTTTGTGTGCCAGTCTCACATGGAACATTGATGCAAACGATAATGAAGGCGATTGCCAGTTATACTATAGATTCTGGCAGCAGGGTGTTTTGGTGGTAATGGTAGAGTGGTGAAATCGTGGGTAGGGCCAACTGGCCCCGGTGCCTAGTGGGTGGTTCCTGGTGACCACATTCATTCATCGAAATTGTCAAGTCAATTATATATATATAAAAAAATATATATATATATATATATATATATATATATATATATATATATATATATATATATATATATATATATATATATATATATATATATATATATATGCAGTGGTTATCATCATCATCACTCTTCTATGGCCATTTCCCACACTTGCGTGAGTAGCTGTGATTGCCTTATGGCATAGTGCCCCCCTGTTGCCATCAGGCAACTTATACATAGTGGGGTCTGGGCATTATATATTGGGACTTGTAAGTGTCTTCATAGCTGGCAAGGCAGGTTTGCTACTTCCTGAGATAAAAAAAAAAATCTACTTATCTGAATCATTACAACATTGAACTTTCCTTTATACTGTAGTGTAATTGAATGTCATATTTTGTCATTTGTTTACTTAAAGTAAATACATTTCTTTTTATGTTGCAGCCTCCAGGAGCTGGGAAGACCTATCTGGTGAAGCAGATGAGCAATGTTTGTGAAATGCCCCTCTATGGCGTCCATACCAACCAAGTCCGGGGAGCCCCAGCAGTCAGGAAGCTGTTTGAGCAAGCCAGAGACAATTACCCATCCCTAGTCTTCATGGATGATGTTGATGCCATCTTCTCTAACCATGATGACGATCCCGCCTGTTCAACGTTAATTCAAAATATTCGTGACGAACTCTTCACGCAACTAGGACCTCGTAAACTAAAAATAATTGACCCCAAATCCACCAAAAATCCAACTGACAGCACAGTCAGCAATAGTGCTGGAGGGGTAGGGTGGGTCCATCGGGAGTCGTGCCTCCAGCCGAAATTCTACATTGGCCAAGCCACGTCAGCCCCACCTGATGAGGATGAAGATGTATTTGATGAGGAGGACTCGCCATACCCAGATAATAATGGTATCATTGTTGTGGCTGCCACCAGCACTCCTTGGCTCCTTTATAAGGTATGGATGGACCTTTGGTCTCTTCAAGTGTTGACACATTTAAATAGTTTGACCAGTATAAAACAAGTTTATGTTTGATTTTTTTTCTCATGGAATACTGTACTGGAATATTATTTATCAATTATTGTACTATACTGTACAGGATTGTATAGTGATTTACTACCTTATATGTTCAAACTAGACTGATTGCTTTTCCTGTTTATTTGTATAAATTTTATTGAAGCAGATGTCCCTATAATACTGTTTGTGGTGCATCCCTGTTGTCCCTTACCTGGAACATTGGCACACACTTCAGCCCCTTTGACTATTTATTATTGAAAAGAAAAGCTTTAAGTTTAAGTCCAGTAATTTTTTCTCAGCCTAGAGTGTACGTATTACTTTTAGTAATTTACATAAATGGATGAAAAATCGGCATAGTTTTATGTAAAAATGCTTTCAAGCCCCAGGCTCTGGATGAAATCATCATAGGGCATCCTCAACAATTTGCATTGGAATCAACAGTACTATTGCACTGTATTGTAATTAATTTGAATAGGTAAATTCACTGTAGTTAACATACGCACTGTACAGTATAATTTTTTTCAAAATGTTTGTGACAAATCTATATGGTAATAAACAGCACATAACAAATTTAAAATCAAAGGTGGCTGAATCATACAACCCCAGTGACTGGTGACAGTAAATAAGTACAGTTTTGATCAGACTGCAGCAATTGTGTTCCCCTGACCAGAATTCTCATTTGGTAGCTGTTAAGATGTCTTGTATATGAAACTTGCATTTCTTTGGATAACTAATAATTTAGTTATAGTATTAAAATTAACGGCTATTATTAAGGCCTTGACTGTTGCTAGTTTGGCGGTCAGTTTTGGTCTCTATTTGCCCAATATTTTGATGCTTGATGCAATAGAGTTTATATATTTTTTTAAATACTAAAAAATGTTTTTTAAACTTTTGAGTTGAGAAGTTTTTGTCAGCAGGGAGTTATCAACTGAAGATGGTATCATCCCAGCCCCTCTGAACTCTCGATCATTCTCCCCACCCACCAACCAACCTATGACTTCACTGCATGACAACACGTGACTTAGGTTAGGTTAGGATTTGTTGTTTTTCAATGAAAAATGGTTGTTTTAACATAATTTTTTTTTTACTTTGTGATTCTCAACTTGGAAGTTGAAAAAAGCACTGTATTTCCATTGCATTAAGCATCAAATGTTGAGCAAAATAAGACCAAAATTATATGCCAAACTAGCAACAGTCAAGATCTAAATATTACTAAATTTACATTATTTTGATAGCTGTTCTTAATTTATTAATTATATTAGTTGTGCCATGTCTGTAATTCGCCTAATTTTAATTTATTTAACTTACTGCATTGGCATCTGCAGGATTCGAGGGTGGGATGCAAGAAAGTAACACAAAACCCGACTTACCAATTTATTTAAAACAGGTATATAGTAATTAATATTATTAGGCATGAAACATATGGATGTCTTAGAATTTTTTTTTTTAAAAGGTATGAAGGTTTGTGCAGTAATTTTGAACTACAGTATATCAGGTGAAAAGTATCCCTTCAGATTGAGAAGTGATGACAAGTATTCTAGGTTTTTTTTTGCAGGATCATGAGCTACTGAGCAGATTTCGTGGCGTATACCTGGTTGGACTACCTGATAAGCAGACCCGTTACAACTTGCTCAAGAGCCTCTTTCAGGATGTTCACCACAGTCTCACAGACAAAGACATCATGGTGGTGGCTGAGAAGACAGAGGGGTATGAAATAATGCAATTTTAATATTATTATTAGTAGTACTGTACTGTATTAGCCAGAGAGCCTGAGCTCTCTCTTGTAGGCACCAGATATATACTGTACATTTATCTCAAGCTTTTTGAATACCATAAAATAATATTTGCAGAAGTATGGATGAGCAAAGGGTCTCTAATGACTGGAAATTAGTAAAGGTGATTCTCACATTCAAAAGTTGATCACCATTGCATGAATACTCAGGCCAATGAGTTTAGCTTTTTTATTACAGTACAGTACTGTATAAGTATTAGAAAGCTTTATAGGTGATACCATGATGGGCCATCTACTGTACAACAAAACACCCTTGTGAAGGAATGCCAGAACAGATTTATGCTTGGATGCTTCCTTTGTAGATGCTGGATGTAGTAGCCTGAACATGGTAGTACAGTAGTAATATTGATATTAAATATCTTGCCTTTGCCAAACACTCAAGAAAATCAGAAATAAATTGAAGGTTAAACAGAATTAAAAATATCCTAGCACACAAGAGTTTCTTTTCAACCACGAGCAGTGTGTAATGATAAAGCCATAAAATCTCATGTGTACCCATGACAAGTGGTGCTGAGGAAAATGGATCAATGTTGTTAATTTGTTCTCATAAATGACAAGATACAAATGTTTGCAAACAACAATAAGCTATTAATAGAAATTTAAAATATAACAGACTGTGAAACATTACAGAAGATCTTTCTTCAAGAGTGGTTAAAGAAGAAAACAGAGATTCAAGATTTTGAAATGTGAAGATGCACCTTGGTCACACCAGTAGTAGGAAGAATATCATGTGTCTCAACCTTGATTAAGACACTTAATTAACTAAAACTAAATGTGAGAAAAGATCAGGGCAATTATGTTGACTGTCAACTTAAGTTCTCAGATCATTGTGAAGGTGAATCTTGCCAACAAGTTATAGGAGTATTTGAAAATCCCTCGCATTTCTGAATGATCTGTCTCTCAAAGCTTTGCAGAAGTGTAGTGTTCCTTACTGAGTAAATACAATTCCCTTTGGCCTCTGAGATACAGTACTTAAAAGTTCTATCTTGATTTAGGAACCTCCTGAGGAGGTCCATCAAACTGGCAATGTTGATAAGACACCTCACACATGTCAAGAGATTAGAACAGATTGCCTCCAGTACTGTTATACTATAGAATGCAAGGGCAGTTTATACAATAGCACCTCAAGGGCATTACTGAGTCAAATGTACATACCCTGTACTGTATATGGAGTTAAATGATGGCTGTCCCCTAAAGACTACAGACTGCGGTACAGAAAACTATCAGCTACTTCTTTGAAGTAAATTGCGAACTCTTGGAATAACCTGCCGCAGAATGTTGTGACAACAAATAAAATTCTTATAGTACTGATTTGATCACTGATGCTTGTTCAGTTACATTCAAGAGCCTGTACAGTACTTGCCAACAGTGCTAAACAGAGAAATGGCAATGACAAAAGCCAATAAGTGGCGAGAAGAATTTAAGAAGTGAACAAATTGTGAACCATTTACAATTCGTTCAAATTACAATGGGTACATTTCTGTCTAATTTTATAGAACCACATATATTCATGCATGCCAGATGACAAAATAGACGAATGACAGACTACAGTACATATTATTGTACTGTACTTTAAGTATAGAAGAGGTACAAATTTGTGTATGTGGGTTCATGTGGGTCAGGTTGGCTGTTATTGCACAGCAATACTGTATAGTATAGTACTGTATTATATTTATGATGTTTATTAGTAAGTCACGGAGAATGGGGTTTATTGTCTACAAGTAGAGGACAGTATAGAAACTAAAAAATACTATTTACTAATAAATTAGAAGTGGATTAATGAAACTATTAATGATTATGAAAGGCACTCTCATGGCTGCTCCATCAGTGGGGATCTCCTGGGGGTGAAGGTGTTGCAGTTAAGCTAAAACAATTGGGAAGGTTCGAGTAATATTTATTGGGTAAGTAAGAAATCTTTTAATATGATTAGGCAGTGTTGTAAAGACTAATTACTTTTCCTTTACTGGCAGGTTCACACCAGCTGACTTAATGGTTGTTGTGAAAACACTGACATACAGGCAGTTTTCCTTCCTGCTGTCTATGGCCCTACACCCAGGTTCAGCTGGCTCCTCTAGCGATGTTGGTTCTACAGGTTCACAGACACCACTGTCCTCCAGAAAATATCTGAGGTGAGACAAAATCATAACTATAAATAGATTTCATATACAATATTTACCTAGATTGCTAGATAGTTAGCCTTAGTCCCCATGGGACTATTACCAAAGAAGAAGCATCATTGTTTCAGTAATGGTTTCTTTTCTTTGGCCACTTATACACTGTAGTCCAATTTGTGGTTTGGAAACTATTCCTACTTTTAAAAATATCCCTTTGTTTTATTTTTCCTTAACCTCAGTTACCAGTATTTAACTTCACCATTATGCATTCATATTCCTACTCTAAAATTGTACAGATACTTCTTTCATTAAAAAAAGAGTGTTTTTATTTTTAGAGAAAGGATTTCTTGATTTGGTTGTATAATTCTAGAAAGAATGTTTTAGAAGACATTTCTTGTGCATGTCACCTTAATAAGAATGCACTTATAAAACATAAGCATTAATTTAATTTCCAAAGGAAATGTTTTTATTTATTTTGATTTAATTATTAATTTTTTTTTTCAGACGGCATCTGAGTCTGATCTTGATGGACTTCCGGAGTCAGAGGGTCACTTAAAGCGAGGTGTGGTTGCTGCAGCAGCAGTGGTAGGAGCAGCAGCAGTGGCAGCAAAGGCAAAAGCAAAAGCAGCAGCAGCACCTAAATCAAATGCTGCTAGCGGAGCTGTCCCAAAGAAAGACATTAAAAAGTCCAGTAATGGCAAAAAAGTCTCCAGCAACAGTAATAGTCCCAAGTACCACTGCTCTTAGTAATGATTGGGATTCAGACTCTGAGGAGGAGGATGAAGAGCCTCATGCTACTCCTGAGAGTCAGCGGGATGAGGTAAATATGAAGCTCTCTCTAATTAACACTAAACAAGTATACATGTTTAAACACCTGCTGATGTATATACAGTACTTACACAGGCTCACTCATATGAACCCACATGTAGCTACTTGTCTATTTAAGGGAGCCAAAATTTATTACAGTTACTAAGTATGAATATGTTCAGCACTGATTAAAATTGTGTTTTTGCTCTTGATAAAGGTTTCAGTGTACATTATAAGTTCTGGTAACTGATGAATTATTGAAAACACAATTAAGCTCTAAATGTGTTAACTCAATATTGTATGTAACCAAGTTTACAATAACAGTCATCTTAAACTTAGTTGATAAGGTTATTTACAGTACAGTATTGAATAACGATTTTGTTTGTCTTAGGATTGTTTTTTTGATAAAAGTTTATATTTTAAACCAGAAGGTGAAGCCAGAGAACACCCGAGTACCCACTCGTGTCTTGGAAGATTCATTGTTGGTGTCTAAACCAAGTGAAGAGAGCAGTTCTAACAAGAGCCTGCGGGATGATATATGTGTACCATCACCAGACTCTGCCATTGGTCTTTCAAAGAGCAGTGAAGAGATTGTTGACCCCAAACATACCAGAAGATTAGACGAACCACCTCGAACACCTTCAGAGAGCAGTAGTAGTGGAGTGACTTCGTCAGGCTGTGATAGTAGTGATAGCAGTGCAATAGTTGAGGATGGAGTGCGAGAAACTGAAAGGCATCCACCTTTGAGTAGTGACAGTGAAACTGATGTGGATGAGGCTGTGAACAATAGTACTGATAAGGAAGAGGAAAGGACTACTGTGGAGGATTTTTGAAACCTATAAATGAGAGAGCTGCTGATATGGACAGCACAGTGATAGAGAAGGAGACTGAGCCTGAGTGTGATGGTGCTGATGATGAATTTGGAGATGATAAAACTGTAGAAAATGAAAATAGTGGTAATGATGGTGAACGAGTTGGTACTCCAGTAGAGTTTGAGTTACATTACACTGAACCTCCTGAGCCTGGCGTGATGACAACTGTGCCATTGATAGTGACAGTGACAATGATGTTTCAGAAACTCCACGATCTAGAGGAGGCGCTGTTGCTTTTTCAGGTATGTCACCAATGGAGCCTTTGTCCGTGGATGTTGGTGATAACTGTGGGCCACCCAATGTATCACTGGATGACCTACCACCAAACATTACATTAGCACCTTCAAACCTTCCTGAACCTATGCTTGCTGATGATCACCACCAGGAGGCAGCACCCAATGCCATTCTTCTCAGTCTGTTATCTCGACCGACTCCCTCGAGGTCTGAACGTCGTGACCACCGTATGATGATCCTTCTGATTTAACCTCATTCTTGCACCCAGACCCAGATCATGATGTAAATAAGACATCAACCCCCATTGAGCCTATGGGACACCTAACACCCACTCCTGACTTATCACCAACACCAACACCTACACCCAGTGAAGGATCAAGCCACAATGGAACTGTTGGTAGTTCTGGGAGTGGCACTCATGCTTCAGCAGGCTCAAGCAGTTGTGAGGTAAGACGGTGATACCTACTAAATTTTTTCATATTAAATACAGTATATATATTCATAATTTAGCATTTAGAATTAACATATCCATCCATATATCCCAAAAGTTTCACCGAGACTTTCACTACCCCATACAACTGGATCAATTTGGATTGGTTTCTAATTAAAAAGCTAGACATAAATTTGAATCAAGCTTATGACTTAAAAACACCTATGTTTGGCAAGCCTTAATATTTGTAACCTACTAAACTCTGACTATACATTCTGAAATGATTTTGAACAGTAGTGATGATCTCTTCACTTTGAGAGCCTAGAGCATTACGGAATGTTCCTATTACGCCCAATCCTTTCCTATACTGCACAGGGGGCCCTCATTGTCCAAGGCTAATCGGGACTGGAAAAGTGCCACTTAAAAAAAAAAAAAAAAAGCGGTTAGGGTTGATTGAGACCACAAGATACTGTAACACTCAAAAGGATTTATTTTTTATCATTTATGCTAGGGATTCTGAAAACCGTAGTGTCTCGCATCTTCAGCACTTTTCTTCTGATGACTAACGTCTTAATTTTATGTCCAGTCCATAGCTGTTATGCTTCCTTTTATGGAAAGCACTTTGTTTAGCACTAGCACTTTTTTTGAAGTTATGACTAAAACAATAGCAATGTTTTTTCAAGAATGCACATGAAAAACAATAGAAAAAAGCAGCAGGAGCTAGACACTGTTTATGGTGGGCAAACCTGAGTATGGGGATATGCTGCAGGTTGGGAGATGTGGCAGTACTGTATAGTAAAACATTTGATCCAATTTCTATTAAACTTCTGTTCTCTGTGATATTATTTCATGATCCCCGCAGGCGCAGGACTTTGTACATATAGTTCAGCAATAATTTGGCCTTGTAAATGTGAAACCACAGATATTGGCTTGGATAATGAGGACTTCAAAGTACAGCATCCAGATTGTACAGTAGCTCAAAAGAGTATCTGTCCACTGTGTGTGGTTACATTGAGACCACAGATGATAGAAATTGGGACATGCATTTCCTTTGGTTTGTACTTTAACATAAGTAATGCAATGTGTGTTTATTTCGGTGTAATTAAAATGATGTTCGTTACTGGCTACACAGTAAGATCAGCATGCCACATGAGCTGGCCACATACCAACCTCCCGGACATCATGAGTGCATAGCTGAAGCCGTCAGACTCAAGGTCCTGGCAGATACATTTTAGATTTACTTCTATCAGTGAAGCAGATGACTTGCCTATAAAAAAACGACTTTGTATCTTTTTTTATATTATATATATATATATACCACACACACACACACACACACACACACACACACACACACAACACACACACACACACACACACACACACACACACACACACAATATTATTAACATATACATACAACACATATACAACATATATAACATATACATATACATAACACACATATTTCAACACACACACACATATCGATATATTAACACATATGTCCCACACACACAACACACGATCAATCAATATTTAAACTGACACACACACACACACACACACACACAACATATCATACACACACACACACACACACACACACACACACATCATACACATAACACACACACAAATATACACACACACACACACACACACACACACACACACACACACATAACACACACACACACAACACACACACACACACACACACACACACACACACACACATAATATATATTAACACACACATATATAACATATTATATTATACATAATATATAAACACACACAATTAACACACACACATACACATATATACATATATAATATATATATATATATATATATATTATATATATATATATATATATATATATATATTTATATATATATTTTATATATATATTTATATATATATTATATATATATATATATATATATATATATATATATATATATATGGGATTAATTTAAATAGAAATATACACTCAGCATTTACACACCCCTCCTAGATATCGTATAGATTAATTGGGAAGGGGTTATAGGTTCAGTATCATTTAGGTCTCTTGATGCATGTGATGAATCTTATCATTGATGGTTGCTTCCAATTCTAATAGAGCTGAATCCAGCTCTTCTAAAGAGACAAGCACTCAGCCTAATACATTCTTTAATACTGCCTTTACTTTTCCAGTACATATACATTCCCATATGGCATAAAACTATGTCTTAGATGTAATGATTTTGTGACATGAAGGAAGCCAGTGTAATCTACTCCAGTGATCTGGAATGGTTTGACCTGTTGGACAGAGCTTTTTCACCCTGTCTCATTTATAGAATCCACCAATGGTTTACACCAAAATGGTTATACAGTACAACTGACATAAGCTTGGCTTAAAAGTGAGATATTTTGAAGATTCCTTCACGGTGGCCAGTTGGATTTTACCTCAACACTTCGCAATCCTTTCCTCAATATACAGTATGCAGTAGTCCTAACTGGAACAGGAACATGATATTTGTGAATGGGTTCTTGGTTTTTCCATTCAGTATTACATATTCAGTGGAGAAATATTTCTGTGTATTACCCGGTAACTTTATCAAGCCTCTTTTGGCAGTTCTTAATTCTCCTACAGCCATCATTGGGTGTGTAATTAAAGCTGTACCTGAGCCTTATGTCTTAAATTCTCCTTACCCGGTATATTGAATTACCTATGGTATAATTCGAGTTGCTTCATTGTAGCTTCCTAATTTTTTCAGATTTATACATGTTTTAGATTCACCGTTACTTGACTCACACCGTGGATAAGCTTCCTCCATAGTCTGTGGTTACAAATACAATTCGCCTCTCGATTTACACGGATTTAATTTGCATGTTTTTTAAATAACACTCGTATTAAATTAATACCTAATTTTAAAATAATAACATGGTTTTCAAAAGAGCGTCATTGCACCAAGCGTAATTCAGCATTTCGTTGCTTTCCTACTTTACAAAAAAAGGAAAATTAACATCATGTAAACCTCAGCCATTGACATCTGGCATCTCAAAAGCTCCCACTTCTCCTCCACCATCATCTGATTCAGTTGGCTCCTCCCCAGTAACCCCCCACCTCTCCTCCACCACTAGTTCCTGCTCCATCCCAGCCATCATTCAACTTAAATTTGAGCACAAATTTTCATTTGAAATCTATTTTCTTACTACTGTATTGTTATTATTACAGTGCAGTGGTCCCTCGGTTAATGAACAGTTCGATTAACAAAATTTCGATTAACGAATTACCTCCCATAAGGATCTTCAATTCGGTTAACGAACAAACCTTCGATTAACGAAATCCTTACGACAAACCGCGATTTGTTGTGAGCATCAGCTGATGGGCTAGTCTGCCAATTCAGTAATCTGTTCTATGTTTACATTCATTTCCAGTGGAGTAAATATCAAGAAAGTTGTGCTCTTTAATATTTTTGCATTTTTTATATTAAAATTATTAGTAATTTTAAAATTTAGTTAATATATTGATAATATATGCAGTACAGGGAACTAATTTTTTGTGCGCCCATCAGCTGCTTGTTTCACCCACCATCTATCAGTTTGGCTTTGTTTACAGTGGTGAGTTGCTCGATTTTGTTGGTGTCTTCATGTATTTTTGCATTCTTACATTAAAATTATTGGTCATCCTGAAATTTAATTAACATATTGATAATATACTGAATAGGGCAGTGCATTGTTGATTTAAATAAAATAATCTTGAATTACACCTAGTGAACTTAAAATTTTATTAGGTGAAATTATTGCATCAAGCATGGGTCCCCTGAAGGTGATTTCTCTTCCATCCACTTCCTTCCTTCTCCTCCACCCATTTCTAATTCCCATCATCATCATCAACCAGGAACCTTCTACATACACCTCAATGTAAAGTGTACTTTACTGCATTTTTTTTTTTTTTTACTTTGTATGTACTTTTCTGTGAGCTGGAACCAATTACCCAATACAAGTATCCCATTGAAACAATGATTTCGGTTAACGAACGATTCTGTGAAACGAATTGTGTTCGTTAACCAAAGGACCACTGAACAGTCATAAGCCACAAAGGCTTGATTTACAATAAATCCACTATTTATTTTAACCTAGTTTTCATTTTACAGGTACACAAAAAAGAGGACAGCGACTCATCATTTGATCACAGTGATGGTCACACTGTGCCTTCTTCTGATATATCTACTGCAACCTGCAATGAAACAGAAGTGTACTACACTCAGACCTGGTTTAACTATAAGAGATATATCCATGTACATACAGTATCCCCATGCAGAGCTAGGTTATTTGGCAATATTTTACATTATACTTTCCATTGAATCATATAATGGTTCACCCCAGATTTGAAACTTTATTTGTAGATGTACTGTATTATCCTGCAAGGAACATGGGTAGTTGGACAAAGCTGCCACATATCATAAGTATCATCTTGCATTTATGTCCACTGTCTTCATGGCTGACTTTTACCTCTCGGAGATCCTCTTAAAATTACCATTCAACAGTTTTAGCAGGTTGAATATTTTTTTATTGGAATGAATAAAGTTAAGAATTGCTACAAGCTTTGACCTATTTATTACCTCCAGGTTAATACATAAGAGTTTCTTTTTTTATCATTTACTCAGTCCATACTCTCTGAAGATTAGTCATAACTGCAACTTTTCTATATTCATCTCATCCACAAAATTATGTTTTTGTTTTAGATTTCCTTTAATATATATTGTGTCAGAATCTCCATTGTGTATGTCAGTGCTGTAAGGTACATTTCACCTTGGTTTTCCATAAAGAAATTAATAGAAATAAAAATTGAAAAAAGGTAGAATAAGGGTTGGTGGGTAATCTTTGATTTCTTCAGGGAATTGCAATCCTGCCTTGCCAACTAAAAGGGTGCTGAGAAGTTCTAAATATAATTTCTAGTTTCTGTAAATGTGGGTTGTTGATAGGAAGGGTATCCAGCCATTATACTGTACAGTACTTGCTTCAAATTTACCTAATAGCACCCTTGACATTATGCCACCTAATCATGGGGACCCATGCAAGCATGGAAATTGGCTGTAAATTGATGATTAAAAGAAGGTACATCAACCTATAATTAAGCTACTTTACAAAACTCATCATACCTCAACAAGAATTGTTGTTTATACTAGAACTTTCAGATCAGCTGATGAATTAGCTGAACTAAACATATATATACTGTACTCTATTGCACAGCATAATGCTGGTATTGCATTATTAAAAACTGGCATGGAAAATGCATGACATTACTGACATGTACACTGCAGTGAAATAGTTGATGCTCAGAAATAATTTTCCTAATGAAGAACATAATAGATTTGCAAGTAAAACCAGGCAAACAATAGAATATAATTAGCATAGTCATATAAAAAATATAAATTAGTTATGGACAAGACGACCTTAAAACTGTTAAAAACAAGACTTACCTACCCTTAGCTCCTAAAATATAGCATAGCCTTAAATTATGCAACAGGAATATAGACACTCATGAAAATTAAGTTAGTGGTAATCATGAAAAAGGGCTGGTTGATCAGTATGAAGTCTACAATAATGTTGTTAAGAAGACTAAGTTTTTCAATGTTATTATAGTACTTAATGTTTCAGGTGAAACTATGGAATGCCGCACAGACTCTGAGGAACGATTACAAGAATTGGAGGATGGCACTGACACCCAGATTCAGCTCGTGGTAGTGATTATGATACTCCTGCAGAAGCAAAAGCAGTAGTTGGTGGGGTCTGAATTCTCTCTTGAACCTTGATGATCTTGGCGAGATCAGTATCCAGGTCATAACACTGGTAAGTTCAAAAATTTTTGGAAAGTATTTTGAATTCATGTACGGTATTTCAAACTTTGATTATTCCAAATACCCTGTATTGATTTTAGAGAATAAATGCTTTGCAGTTTGGAGTCCCACAGATCATCAGTTTTGGGACCACTTATATTTACAGTCTATACCAGTAATCTTGCATCTGCTTATGTGAAAATAATAAATGTTGAGGATATTGAGATATGAAATCCTTGATGTCTATATTAAGATCTGGATGGTCAGAAGAAAACTTCAGCTGAATGATGGTGAAACCAAGATTATCCTCATCTGACCGAGGAAAATAGGAAGGGTGACAGCATAGATGATTTTGGCTCTTATAACTTTGGGGAAGTACAACTCAGTTCTCGATTTGTTCGTAATCATGAAGTGTAATTTGTCTTAAAACTGAATTTTAAAGAACATACACAGTAGATTCAGTGGTCAAGAGTTGCAACTTTCATATTTAAAGGCTACAGTCTCTCCTCGACTTACGACAATCCGGACATACGACCGCGTCCGTATAAATATTATTACGTATTTTGAGTCAACGTTTAGTGTAATGTGACCTTGTCTGCTACAACAGGCTGGGCGCCTCGTGGTGTACAGCATCCATGCCATAGCCGCTCAGTTGGTGTTTGGCCGTTGTCGTTGCTGTTGTGATCACTCTGTACTGCAAAAATTTTTGTTTTTAATTCTCTTTAAAATGGTTGTAAGCGTAAAAGTGAGGATTCTCGTGGTGCCGAGAAGAAAGAGGAATGAAAATGAAAATAATAATGCAATATGAAAATGGGAAAAAGGTAGCAACCATTTCACGCGATCTTGGCTTCTCTCACTCGACGATATCAACAATTTTGAAGGACAAGGAACGAATTTGTAAAATAGTGAAAGGATCAGCACCTATAAAGGGAACAATAATAACGAAAAAAAGACAAAGTCCTCTTCATGAGATGTAAAAATTACTTTTGATGTGGTTGGGAGATCAGCTGCAAAAGCGTGTACACTTAAGCCTTCTAACCATACAGGCTAAGGCAAGAATCCTTTTCGAAAGCCTGAAAGAACGGGCAGGAGATGAGTGCGACCAAAATTTCACAGCAAGTCATGGGTGGTTCCAAAGGTTTAAGAAACGTTACAGTTTGCAGAGTGTAAAGGTGAGTGGAGAGGCAGCAAGTGCTGATGTGGGTGCTGCTGAAGCTTTTGGAGGAGCTAGATGTTGTCATCGTGGATGAAACTGGCTTATTTTGGAAGCGCATGCCAGAACAGACATACATCCACAAGAGGCGAAAACCATGCGATTCAAGGCATTCAGGACGAATCACACTTCTGTTGGGGGAAATGTAGCTGGTTTCAAGGTAAAACCCTTCATGATATATCATTCAGAGAACCCAAGGGCATTTTAAAGTGTCAGCAAGCACACACTGCCAAGGTTTTATCACAGTAATAAGAAAGCATGGATGACCCTAGCACTGTTTGAGGATTGGTTCCCGAGTTGTTTCATTCCACGAGCCAAGGAGTATTGTCTGCAACAAAGAGGATTGCGTTCAAGATTTTATTAATTTTAGATAATGCTCTGGGTCACCCACCACACCTGGATGACCTACACCCTAATGATAAGGTAGTCTACCTTCCACCTAACACTACCTCTATCATCCAACCCATGGATCAAGGTGCTATTGCTGCTTTTAAAAGTATTATTCATACGACCTTAAGCTTAGGCTATTGCTGCTACTGAAGGTGAGAAAACACTCAGTTTTGGAAGGACTACAACATTTTGCAATGTACATACAAAGAACATAGCTGCAGCATGGGATGAGGTTACAGGTCAGTGCATGAATGGAATATGGAAGAAGATCCAGAAAAATATGTGAACAGTTTCAAAGGATTTAATGAAGATGAAGCAATTTCTGAGATTAGTAACAAGATAGTGCAGATGGGTCAACAGCTGGAGTTAGAAATTGATAATGAGGATGTTGAGCAGTTGGTGGAAAGTGTAGTAGAAGAGCTAAGTAACGAGGATCTTATTGAACTGGATGCACAGAAAATTGCTGAGGAAGAAGAGACAAAATGTAGAAGAAGAACCTGCACCCCCAAAAAGTTTTCCGTGAAACAAATGGCAGAGGCATTTGCAACTATTAATAAGGGGATGCAAATGTTTGAAGAAATGGATCAAAATGCTGAGCGTTTTGCAAAAGTTGACAGACTGATCCAAGATGCACTTGCTTGCTACAAAATTTAATGAAAAGAAAACCCTCATTCCACCACCTTCTCTGCCACCTCCTCTCCACTGCTACGCACCCAAATGCAGTTTTATACAGTACAGTATTTGATATAATTCATATTCTATTCCTATAATTCATTTATCGTTATGTATTCAATAATATATTCCTATAATAATAATCGACTTTACGGAACCACTCGGTTATTTCAGATTCGTTCCGAATTCAAATTGTTTAATTAATTTTTGGAAAAAAATATGAATTAAGCCAAAATCTAAATTATAACGATTCTAATTAACGAGGGTGTACACATTCTGAAATGATTTTGCATAGAAGTGATGATCCCTCCTGCCTAGAGGAGCATAGAGCAGTACAGGAATGTTCTTTTGCTGCCCGATCATTTTCCTATACAGCACCCAGATTGTACAATCATTTACCTTCATCCATGAAGCTGCTGACTTCTGTGGATGCCTTTAGAAAACAACGTAAGACCTTTTCTTTTTCGAAAGAGTTTACATTGTAGGAAAATTGCAGGGTATATGAATGATACAAGTTGAACTATTAATTTTTTTGTGATTATTTTTGTAGTATTTTCTTTTTATTCTTGGGCCCATGACTGTAATGTTTCAAGCGCCAGTGAATTATTTGGAAGAACTAGCGCTTTTGGGAATCAAAAGACCAGATGATATTATTATTGTTATTATCAGTTACTTATTAATTTCAGCTTGAACAAATTAATGTTAGGATTTTAGTCGTATAATGGTCTCAAATTTATCCCTTTCAGGCTGACGTACTTGAGGTTGTTGCAAAAGGCTACAGGAGCGTTACAGATGAAGAGATTAAACGTTACACAGATTTTATGGTGTGGTTCTCCAATGTAGCCAAATCTGCCTGCCCTCATTTGAAAGATGGTAGGTCCTGAATATTTTTTGCACTTACCAATAATATTTATTGCTAATATCCTGCCATAATTTTGTCATAATCTACATACAGTACAGGCATACCCTAATATAAGGACCATGAAAAGTTGTTCGTTGGTGAATCTACGGTTATCAAATAATTAATCATAAAAATATAACATTCAGGGGGTTAGAGACTGGCCACCCCTTGATATCTCTGTCGTGCAGTCAAGCTAGAAAATAATGCATACATATAAAGCATAAGCATTAAATAAGGAATGTAAATCATAAATTAAGACTATTGTTTACCTGTGTTGAGGATGGTAGAGATGGTATAGAGTGGCAAGTTCAAGTCTCTACCAATCTTTGCTGGTCTATCACCACTCTTATATGCCTTATCACATCACATCAAGGTGGGGCAGCACAAGAGGCATAATTGTGTAACACACTAAGTTGGACATAACGAAAAAGTCGAGTCTCTACTAATCTTTGCTGGTCCATCACCACTCTTATTATGCCTTATCCCGTAACATCAAGCTGGGGCAGCACAAGAGGAACTATCACTGGAGCGTTTAGGCATAACATACGAAGTTGGAAATAACAAAAAAACATGAAGTTGGAGACATGGTAAGTGTAAACAAGTAGAGAGAGGCAGTGTACAGACAGCCTCTCATGGCAATAATTCGCACCACGCCACAGTCTCCAAATTCAAAACAGCTCTGCCACTCCTCTCCTGATTGTAGGATCTCTGGGTTATCAACAAAACTTGTATGTAATCATCAGTTAAGCGAATCTGCTGTTATTGGGACATCGGTTTTCAGGGTATACTTGTACTGTATAGTAATTAGGGCAAAACATAAGAAAATGGAACCTTACAACAAAGATTATATATTAGATGGCAGTCATCTTCCATCCTCTTTTGTCATGTGGTTTTAAGGAACCTTTGGATTTGCATTCTGTCAAAAGTTAGAATTCCTATTGCCCCTTCTAGGACTATTCCCCTGTCTGGGCTTAGTTTCAGTGGTTGTTTGAATGCTAGAATCAGGTTAGTCCCAATTTCTTTACCCTGTGCAATATGCTCTTAAGACACATGAGCAGTCAGACTCTTTCATGGGAAGGACTTTGGAAATGTATGTTGTGATTATTCTCATTCACTTTGCTCTCATCAGCAACTAAAATGCTGATCATTTGTTTCATTGGCAGCAGGGTGGGGGAGGAAAGCTGTAGGCTATATTTCTTCTGAGTGAATTCACATTTCATTAGGCATGATTCCAGACTATTTCATTATATAGTGTGAAGAGACTTTTAGTTAAAAATAGGGTAATCCTGTGATTCCTGTAAATTCAGTTATGGGACCAGAGATATCTTTCTTGAGGAACTTTATTATACAGACATGTGAATGAGTGATGTTGTCCAGACCTTATTTTTTATACAGGCAATTTTTTATATTGTGATTAATTACTGGAGTAGTAATAATGATTGTTAATAGTGTAAATAGTAATAACATGGTAAAACAAGTGTCCTGTACCTCATACTACCTTCAAATTAGTGTTGTTTACCTCGTTACTACTGAATCACACACACGCCACTTCATGAACATTCTTGACTCTTCCTAGCCCGTGTTGCCAACCTGTGGTAAGGACATGTATTTCTTTCTTATTTACCAGTATATCATGCACGACCAGTTTGTAAGACTAGAATTTTTGTTTTTTAAATGTTCCCAAATATACTACCATGGGGGAGATATTGATTATAGCCCGAAGCCCAGGGGTTAAGCATGTAACAATGATAGCAATTACACTAGTCTATCACCAATTAAAATTATGAGAAATAGAACTCTGGGTATATGAGGTCATCGGGTGCACCTTTTGCCGGTAGGAAATATATTCAACCCATTTCTAGTGTCTAGTCCAAATTGATTGATGTTGAAGCTTTTAAATGTTCAGTGGGTGTAAACCATGGAATGCATGTTTCTCTGTCTTTATTGAGCAGTCAACCATTGGTAATTGGTAGTGCTGAATTCATTTCAAAGCTTTGTGATCTGAATTCTTTGACTCCCAAGTAATTTGACAAAGAATGCAATGGGAATAGCTTACTTTCCAACAAAAAGGACTGTCCCTATTATATTCAGTGACTTCACATATAATGATATAATGCACCTCCAAGAGAAATTTGTTAAAGCAGTAAGAATGAAAAGCAAACACAGTCTGAAGAGACTGTGTTTGTTTTTGAGCCTAGCCACTTTGTATTATGTAGAAAGATCTTGAAAGCGGGGTTAAAATTAATAAATTTCCGACCAAGCAATATATCATGGGAATGGTTTACGTGGATGGACTTGCTGTTGATGGATGATGGGAGGCTATATGAAGCAGTAAATAGATCTTGGGGGCTTTGGGGCCTTATTGTGGAAGTAGAATACCAAAGCAGAACACATCCGTGATAGCATTGAATGAAAAACAGCAGATAAGCAAAGTCTGTTTTTGGTCTTGGTATTAGTTACCCTGCACGAGTGTAAAAGATGACGTACAAAATCCTATTTTATGTCCCTTCCTACAGCTAAATACTCTTTGAGTTTGCCGACCTAATTATCTACTGAAGAAAGTTCAGACAGTGTTGTGAACAGGGTTGCCAGGCTTATTTTTGTTCTTCCACTGAGGACTCCCACTACCCCATTCTTGATCAAATTGCACCGGCTTCCAATTTAAGCTAAGATAGAGTTCAAACTCTGTCTAATGACTTTTAAGGCACTAAGGTTTGGTAAAGTATTTGATCAACTTATAAAATCCACTGACCACAAGTTCCGAAATGATTCTGCGTAGTAGTGATGATCCCTCACACCTTGAGGAACGAGACAGAATGTTCTTTTGCTGCCGGATCCTTTTCCTATGCAGCACCCAGATTGTACAGTCTCTTTCAAGATTCTTCGAACATTGCTGGAGACAGCTGGCAACTCAAGGCCGTTTGTTTACTATAGTATGTCGCAAAAATTATGAATGAGTGTAAAAGTGATCAGTGATTGGTTACTTAGTTCCGCTGCTTAATTAATGGTTGGGCTTTGTTTTTCATTATAACACTACGTACTATAGTAAACAAACAGCCTAGTGAGCCAGTTGTCTCCAGCTCTGGAATCTGTGATCAGAATTCAGTTGCCTGCAACCATGAAGCAGCTGACTTCTGGGGAGGCCTTTAAGAAACAACGTAATACTATTTGCTTTTCTTTTTTAACATGACCCAGATGGAGAATTACAGGGTTTAGGATAGTGTTACAATGTAAGGATATACAAATCTTTTTTTTTTTTACAAAAGTTATTATTATAATAATCTTTTATTTTTCAATTACGTATTATCTCCATTAATGGAATCCCTCTTAACCAGAACTCTCCAATAGCACAAATTTAAATTATTAAGGAATTTTGCAAGGACCTGGAAAATTCTGGAAATTTCCAGGGAAGGGGGATTTTTTCCAGGTTTGAGATAAAAATCCAAGATTTTTCCGAAATTTTTCCCTACCCGTAATAAACGTGATGGAATTTTCCAGCTTTGAGAGATGAAATAATGCTTCATATTGGAAAATTCTGGTACCCTGAAAAGTCTGTTCAAGAGATGGTGTAATGTACTTGAAATTCCAAGAAAATTTTCCCTGTACCCGAAAAATTCTGTGGATGGTTTTTCCCCCAGCTTTGAGAGTTGTCTCATTAACCAGATATTTCTCATTCCAGGAAGTGCTCTGTACCAATTGTTCTGGCTTATGGGGATATCACTACTGGATAGAAAAATTTATTTTAAAGTGATAAAATTTGAGAATATAGGAACATAAATTAATTTTACATGAATTTCCAGGTTCTCATAAAGCCAATGCACCCCACCTAGATGACATCAGTGTGGATTCCACGGTGTATGACACTCCAAGCATTGCCAAGAAAAGAAAAGGACCTCTTCGTAAATTGGGTCGCTTTCTTCTGAAGGCTCTCATGTTTATTCTTGATTGAAAACAGGCAAGACTGGTGGAAATTTTTTTATAGTTCTGGGTCGTAAAGGACTTAAATGGTCTGTACTTTAACTATGAGTGGCTGTCCTAGTCTCTGTGGGGACTGGTTATTTGACACTTTCCTCTTGGGTTGTCTCATAAACCACTGTAAACAGACTGGCATAATGCTCTCTCATATCTATGCAAATGAACAGCTTATCTATGGTTGGTTACATTATTCCATTACTGATGACAGAATGAGTAATGTAAGTGCATTGCAGTGAAGTTTACCACTACAGTTAATGGAAATTACATATCTAATGCTTTGTGGTGAAGGCCATAAGTAGTGCTTAGTTATGAAGAAGGTATTAGTACCAGTGCTGGGCTTTCAGTCAGTACTGCAAAGCTTCAGAACATTAATAATTTAAGAGCCAAAAGGAGCTCATGAAATACTGGTTACTTGTGGTAAAACTTTGGAATAAAGATGAAGAACAATTAAAATTTTAGAGGTTAAAACATCTACTTAAAAATAGGATGATAATAAGCAGTTAGTCAGGCTCAGGTATGATGGAAAAGAACAGTACTGTACTGCATCTGATGACATGGCTCTTGTTTCTCACGGGTTTCCCCAGGGAGTGAACTAGTGAGTGAATGTCAAGTTGGCTGATGTATTGTTGATAAAGATGCACCATTTACATGATATGTATGGTTAAAAATGCAAGGAACTCGACTATGTATAAATGATGCAATATGTAGATGGTAAATATTTAGGCTTTTCTGGTTTAAGTAAACATTCAGTGAATATATATAAAAATAAGCTTACTTCGGGATATATTTGCTTGCTTGCTCTGCTTGTTAAAGACAGACATTCAGGTCACTTGTTTTGACAATCTGCTTTACAGGTACGTATATCTTTTTATTTGATGTATTATTGTTGAAGTATCCTGTCAAGTTCCCTCCTCCCCTATCAATAATGATAAAGAAATATACTGTGTATGTAATCAACATATGTTAGTACAATATTGGAACATTAACATTCCCTCTGAAAATATTGTCTACAATATAAATTTTTGAACACTATACAGTGTGCAAGTCTTTACAACATATTCCAGTGATTAAACTTGAAAATTTATGATGCTAGTATTTTTGACAATATTCTGTGTTCTTATTTCATAATGATCATGATTTTCTCTTAGTATATGCTTGTTATGAGTTGAGTGTTTTCAGATTTATTGTTCTTTAAGTACTGTAGAAGAGCAGAATGTAAGCATTGTATGCATTTGTTCTTTTATGTTCCAATAGGATCGCAACCACTCGAGTTCCTTGTTTTAAATGGATTTATTTTGATTGTGTTATTCAATAGTACATTAAATTAAATATCATTAATTTAATAAAAAGTGAGGAGTGTTAATCTTTGAGGGAATTTAAAAACTATTTCACAAATTACTGATTATTAAAGTTTTACTTTAGAACACAAATAAATTATGGATGTTTGAAAATATAACTGTTTAGAAAAATGCTTTAAAATACTCATATTTTCTCCTATTGAAACAATTAAGTAGAGAGGTCAGGCAAAGGCAATATTCACTTAAAAAAATTATCCCTCAAAGAAAATGTTGTTAGTGTGAATTAAATCCATATAAAGTCTTCTGTATAAATAGTTTTAATATATAAGAATGAAATTTTGTGATTATTGGAAAAGGTTAAAATACAAATACATTATGATAATTTTGTTTTTAAACTTCCTTTAAGACACAGGTAATAATATACATGTGTTGTCAAAGTAAGAGAAACAATTGAGCCCCATGTAGTGGATGAGTTGGTAAATTTTTTTTCGTAAAATGGCAGGTCAATGGGTAAAAGAAATGCTTAAATTCACTATGGTAATGATATTTTCAAGTAAATTGGGCCAAAAAGTGTAAAAAAATACGTGTTAAAGTTGCTAAAAACTCACGTGACTGCAAAAAGCTGTGATAGGTTGTGACGTCACTGGTTGGGGTAACCTTCCCATGGAGGCAACATGAGTTGTTAACCTTCGCCAATTGGCTTGGCAAGTAAATATTATTAGAAAATTAACTGTGCTTTATTGTAAAACACAGTAGTACTATTTTAAATATCTAAATATTACTAAGCACAAGCTAATTCAATGGATATTAGCTGCCCATATAACAAATTTCATTATTATAAACATTCCAAACAATATTGATATTACAGTATTTTGGTTTTGGTCATCTGGGGAACCTTAAGATTCTAACTATGGGATTAAGTACTTTAAACATTAAGACACATTATCTCTACAGGATTTGTCGCCAAAAAATTTTCAATCGCATAATAAAATACAGATCATAGGTTAGGATATGATGAGTTACACGGTTAGCTTTGCATACATCATCAGTAAGAGAGGGGGAGAGTAACTCAAAACTAGTGATTTACGATAGAAATGAGGGTCTAAATCGTTTATAACACATCGCAAACCACCAGAAAAAAATATATAGTCTCCATGTCTAACTACAGGAATGACCAAAACTTAAAATTTACTCAATACAGGGGTATAGCCTATCTTGAAACTAAACCTCAAAATACTTATGGTAGTTAAAGTAAAATTTTACACATTAATATAAATGATGATGTATCCCAGTGGTTCATTAGTGAATCATCAAAACAATAACAGCACTATGTTGTCGTGTTTAGCTAGCATCAGGCATTATCAAAACAAAGTCTAGACAATGTCACCACTTCTAAATTTACTTTTATCTCCATCTAGTACTGATATACTCTGTAAATGCACTGAAAAAAAAGAACGAAAGTCTACCAGTTAAGAGTACATGACAGCTGAGCTGGTAAGAACATGGGAGTTTTTTGTCCAAAAGAACATAAGAATGGAGGAAACCACACGGCCTATTGGCCCATACTGGGCACAGGCAGTCCCATTTACACCCAACCCCTATCGCTGATATATCCCTCCAACCTATGTATGAAGCTGCTCTTAACACAGCACATTATATTCACTTACAAAATGTCCATGACTTAGACCACAAAAAAATACACCCTTAAAACTTACCCAAACGTGGCATTTGGGGTCTGAAGCGGCCATCCTTTCTACTACCTACGACTGCAGCTGTAAGTTTGAAACTAGTGACGTCATTGCAAATGGCGGCCGTTTCTAGAGAAATAACTTATCTCGACAATTATAGCAAGACTTAAAACTTTCATTATAAATTATGTATACCATATCACTGTACGAATGTGGCAGAGTGTATTTCTTGTTTACCCAGAGCCATCAACCCGTCCATTGTGTAAAGAGGCAGAAAGTCAGTCAGATCAACAACCTGAGACTTAATCACAATTTTTGTGATGCCACATGGAGGCAGGGTCTACCATTAGACAACACTTTATGTTTCCAATATCTTCCCAGGCAGTAGTACCTCCGTTTGATATCTGCCTACTACCTCAATCCAAGAATCCAACAGCCTTACCATATTTTTCATAACATTACTGTGACACCAAGACACTTGCTTGACTCTCAAGGATGTCACTGATTTTGCCCTGTCTTTAATTTTGTCAGCTTGTCTGCTTATTGTGCACACTGTTTATGACACACTCCAGAGCGCTGTAGTGAATCAAGTTTCATCTCCAAGGTGATGATGGTCTTCTGCTTCATCCTTGA